TTGAAATCTCAGAAAATTATTTTCACTTACATTAATTACTATCACATTAAAAGTACAAATTTTTTTTAAACCTTCGATCTTTTTTGATAAATATAATTTCTTTCGTATTATTTGAGATTTTGTTACACAGACAAGTTACTATATTCCAATAGGTTTATGATTTCATTCTTCATGAATAATTAACACAGACATATTTTCCTTTAGTTAAAAATAGATCTATAATATGTTTCAAAATATTATAGTCTATTTATGCACTCGAATTACCATACAAACCTTGATAAAAAATGTTCATTACTAATTATAATAAAAATAAAATAAATATTCTTTCTATATAACTACCTTAGTCTAATAGATTTCTCGAAAAGAGTATTGCATTTAGATTATATGCTATTTATATCGAGTTTGTCGGATAGTTTTCATTTGTAGAACAATTTCCTACAAATTCTGATTAATATACAAAAGCATAAAAAGATTACATAAAAATGCTTTAAAAGGTAACATTTTTTTGACCTATTAAGTTTAAAGGAATTCATTACTGCTTGTAACACGTGTCAAACTATTATTAAAGGAAAACTTTTGATTGCTTTTTCTTATATAATTTTTTGTGACATTTTCATAGTTTTTAATACTTTTTAAATGAGTATAAAAATCTTTACGCGTTAACACATGCGATTTAAGATGTTAATTTTTTCGGTATTATAACGTCCTTGCGGCTAGATTAGTCTGTAAGAATATCACGTATGAATCTTATCTATCGTGTAGGCTGATCCGATTTTAGTATGCACATATGTATTTTTTCTAGAGTCCATCTGTTTTATTAATTTCTTGAAAGTTTTCTAATATCAATATATCTTTTATTATTCGAGATTTTCAGTCATTGAATCATCCGACAGAAGTGATAGAAAAATTATGTGCATCGATATTTTGACTAAGTCATATACTTTTCTAGACATTCACCAAAAAATTATCTTAGATAGCTCAAGTAATGACATTTTTTTATATGAAAAAGTGTCATCGATTATATTTAAATATCGTTTCGTAAATTTATCCTGAGCACATTTGCAGTTATCTAATAGCAATAACTGACTTGTTCATATTTACAAAAAATCGTTTTAGGGTAAACTCAAATGTCGTGGTAATGGTCATTGTGAAGTAACGGTTGAAAAACGAAAACGATGCAAAAAGTGTCGATTAGATAAATGTCTCAGCATGGGTAAATAAACGATTCTTTTCAGAAAAGAAAAAAATATATATATATTTTTAGGAATGCGTAAAGAATGGATTCTTTCTGAAGAAGAGTATGTTGATTTCTCTAATCAATTTGAAATATATATTATTATTTAGAAAACGAAGAAAACGAAGTAAAATCCAAGAAAATCGTCGTCGAAAACAAACAAATGAGAATGGTCCAGTACGTCGACGACGAAGCAATAAATCTGTAATTCACATTCATTTTTTTATGTATTCATAAACTTTAATTCATTTATTTTCTAGGTCAAAACTGAAGATGTTTCATCAGGTGATACATTCAGTCCTCCAAAAACTGATACTGATGATAATCCACCAATGACCGATTCGGATTGGGTAAAAATTCATCAAGTTCAATTTGCATATAGTCAATCAATTACACTTAATAAAGTAATTGGTGTTGCTCCATATCCAGCAACTCAACACATAAATTCAACACTTGAACTTATTCGAATTCCAACTTATTTATCATCAATACGTCTTATAACATATATGAAAAATATTCCCGAATTTAATTTATTAGATTCAGAAGATCGTGTAGTACTTGTCAAATATAATTTATTAGCAGTTGTTTTTATGCATATTGTATTAATATACGATCCAGTTGCAGATACCTATCATGAACATAATACAGAAGATCCTATATTTCAAGGTAAAGACTGGGTGAAGATACTTGGAGAAGAATTTTATAATGAATTAACTGATGTAGCGAAGAAATTAATTGAAATATGTCAATATGATCGAGTTATTATTAAAATATTTTTACTACTTATTCTATCTACCAAAGGTTTTTGTGGTTATGATATTGTTCATGAACCAACATTGAAAAATTATTCAACTGTATTTGAGCTGCAAAATGGTTATGTCGAAGCACTTTATAAATATTGTTTACATCAGTATGGTTTTACAAAAACAGTGACGTTATTTACACATTCGCTTAATTCATTACTTTCGATTCAACGTTTAGCTGTTCATTTAAAAGATTGTGTACATGATCATATTGATCCATCACAATTATCACCTTTGATGCAAAGCGTATTACAATTATCGGATCCAGACACATCCACATAAAAATATGTGTATATATATATGTGTGTGTCGCGTGTGTGTATCTATATTTTTTTTAATAAAAAAGCAATAAAAATACTCACAGAGCTGTAAAACATACGTAAAAGAGACAATACATATTGGTATATTAACATCAAACATATAGAAAGATCATAAAAAAAAGTACAGAGAAGAAAATCAATGATTTATTCTCGAGATAACAGCAATCTGCATATCCATCAGTGAAATTGTAATAAAGAAAAAGATTGAGTTTAAAATTTAGTCCTGGATAAAAGTCAGATGATATGAATAGAAAGATTTGTACTGAAACACAAAATTTAGTTTTTTCTTCAAAAATCTTCTAATATTGTTTTGTAAACTCATATAAATATCATAGTCATTTAAATATTCTATTTCATGTTTTGAAAAAAATTCATCACCAAGTATGGAAGATATTATATCGTTCAATTAGGTTATGTTGTGATAAACTTTCTCTTGCATAGTCAACTCCAGAGATGGGTAACTCAGCTAAAAAAGTGAATTAATTCAATCGAGTTGAACTGAGTTGATCGTTTTCTGAATTGAGTTGCTCATCTCTGATAAACTCATGTCATGACACCAATATCTATTTCATTTATACAAATATAAGATCATATGATTAATGTACTAAGTGCTAATGTATAAGACATGAACAACACGATAATACAAGACGTCAAAAGAACATCATGTTTATATTGAATAGGCTGTAATAGCAAAACAAAGTACACAAAAGGTTTCGATTTTCAAAAAAAACTTTATGTAATCGGAAACCATTTATGGTCTGAAGAGATCCTCATCAGTAGAAGTATTACTATATATGGAATATAACTTTAATTAAAAGAATATATTACATAGCAGTGATCAATTAAAATTGTTTTTTTTTGTTATTTTCTTATTATACTCGGTTTATTATTAAACATTTTCTAGATAGTAATTTTAGACAACAAACGAAGTGTAAAGCATAAAAATAGAATAATTTAAGTGAAATTGATATTTTCTTTTGTTTTATTACAATGTAAAATGAGACCAAACCAGATTTATCAATAGAATACTTGCAAAGATTTTTTTATTTTAAATAATGTCATGTTTCTGTGTCATCTGTGTTGAATCACATTTTTCTCTGCTTCTGTCTTACATTTATAAATATCTCTTTTTACTTATTCACCAGTGTCTAGATATTTCGAAAAATCGCAAATCATTTTCCATTATATTTCATCTCAAACTGATGTGTATCTCAATTAGTAAAGATAGAATCGTCATTAGTACTATAGAAAAAAGAAGAAATTAATAGTCTATATTGTAGATTTACTGTAACGTATATGAACTTCATGCATATTATAACTAGTTTTAATACTAAGGCTATGTTATTCCTTCGTGATGGCCTAGATATGAAGGCATGTTATAGAATAAATATATTTTCTCTACTTAAAGCTTTATTTGTAATTCAAAATGGTGATAGTATTAGATGTAATGTGTTATATATATTATGTTGTCACATATGTTTTATTTAAAAATAAATGAAATATGATAATAAGAGAATAGGTTTTGCTTGATATATACTGTAAAAACATGTAAATCACTTGAATTGTATTAAAAAATATTTACATAAATTTTCATTTATTTTTATTATTGGTAAAATACAGGATAAACATTTTATTTATCTGAATGTATGATATTCAGTATTTTCTATATGGATTCGAAAGATTGATTAAATATTACTTATTTTCGTAGAAACCGCTATCAAATAGATAAACACAAAGTGATGATAAAATTACTAAAAAAAGGTGAATCGTGTGGTTTTTTAGTATAGAAAAAAAGTATACTGATATAGGGGATAATAATCATTAAAAGTTATAAGAATGTTTAATATTAATTCTAATAAATATATAATGTTAGGTTAAGGAGTATCTTCAAGGAGGAACGACATCGAAATAATGCACTAACATTCTTTTAAAATTTCACCTAGAAATCATTCTACTTCTTATCCTTGTTATAAACTTGTTGTTTTATATGTATATATAGATTCTTTTTTTTCCTCATCTTTCGATCGCTATAAAGGCAACCTTGGACATGACGTAGACGCGTACGACAAAAGTTTAACGAGAACATTCGCCCGTTCTGTCCTACATATTTTTTCCTCTATTTTCTTGAACGCCCCGTTACAATATGGAGTATTTCTCTTTCTTTCCTGTATTTAAAATAAAATATTAAATAAAAAAAAACTAACTGAAACAAAATTATTCGAAATTTTTATACTATAATTATAAACAAAAGAAGAAATATTATATTTCTAAAATTCATAGAAAATATGTTATATACATTTATATACCTACACATTTTTTTTTTGTTTTTGAAAATTTTTACTAATAAATGGTATGCTTAGAAAAGCATGTTATTTTATTTAACCTTGAGAAAGTACTCAGAATACGCATACCCGGTTACCCTATTCTCTTCCTTTTTTTTTTTTCGGTCGCGTTTTTTTTTCTTTGCTTATGGTTTTTTGTATTCTATCTTGTCGACAGAGACGTGTAGGACTATTTGCATAGCATTTTCTTGTCCTTTTTTTTTCTTTTCTGCCATAATTTTTCTCCACCTCCGCTGATTGAGAAATACAAAAACTGATTATACAACTTATCACCGAAAATTATAGTTACAAATAATATATTATGGCGGAAAATAATACTCGACTTCGCAAACGACCATTACATCGTCCACGAATTTCTAAAAGAAGCATAAGCAGTGATATATCCAATGACTCATTTTGTTTTGAAAGTGATAACCAACAACAACAACAAACGCAACAGCGTTCTTCATACGTTCGTAAAAAAGTCGAAGGTTTAATTTGTAGTATTTGTGAAGGACTAGCACATGGTTATAATTTTGATGCAATCACATGTGAATCATGCAAAGCTTTTTTTCGACGAAATGCATTGAAAGCTAACGTATGAATTTTAAAGAAAAAAATCTTTGAAAATATTTTTATTTTTTCTAGGGAATATCTAAATGTCGTATAAATAATGGTCAATGTAAAATAACAGTATCAACAAGAAAACAATGCAAAGCATGTAGATTAGCAAAATGTTTTGAAAATGGTTTTGTTTATTTATTATTATTGTTTTTATTATTAAATTTTATATTTATTTATTAATACAGGTATGAGAGCTGATTGGATATTAACGGATGAAGAACGGTCCAATAAACGACTAAAAATTGAAGAAAATCGTCGTCTTCGACAAATGTTATATCCAGATTCACCAGAAATAGATGAAGTTCGAATAAAATTAAAAAAATAATTTTTTTTTTCATTCTTTATTTTACAGATAGAAATTATGCAAACTATAATTGAATCCTGTGATCTTGATGAAGTCGAAAAAGATGATAATCATGATATTAATCCTCGTGTATCATCATTTGCAACACCGCTCACATCATCATCATCCTTAACGTCAAACGATTTGATAAAAATTCAACAAATCGAACAAGCCTATATTGATTCTATTCGTTTGACATCATTATCATCGGACTTTCCTCCATATCCTCAATCAGCACCAGTAAATACAACGCCAAATTTATTTAATTTTTTAACAAATATTTTAGCAACACGTCTTATAACATATCTTAAACTTTTACCAGAATTTTCATCATTAAATTCACATGATAAATTAATTTTAACAAAATATAATACATTTACATTAACATATATTCGTGCTACATTAAATTATGATCCATCAAGAGATATTTATCATGAACCTAATACCGATGAATGTGTTTTTCTAAACGAGGATATAATTCAATGTCATTCTAGTTTACATCAATATAAACTAACAATTAATTGTATAAAAAATTTATTAAAAGCTTCATTAAATGATCGATTTTTACTCCAAGTATTATTGATTATTATGGGACTTTCGAAAGGTTCATCGATATGTACAAATTTTGACGAAATGGAACCAATAGCACAAGATATTTTATCAATATATCATGCACAAAATGTATTTGTTGATTTATTATGGAAATATTGTGAAAATAAATTTGGTTTTTCTACAACAGTAAAAACATGGTTAAATCTTACAATATACTCAATGGATACACATTTACAAGCATATGATTTTCGACATCGTGCGTTTAAAAATCATGCTATTAGTGATCAACTTTTACCATTAATTAAATCTGTTCTATTAGTGATTGAAAAATAAAAACTTTATAATGGTTTTCTATACAATATATATGCGTGTGTTGTTGTTATTGATACAATTGTTTTTCTTTTGTTCTATTTTATCTAAAAAAAAAGGAATGAGTCTCGGAAACTCTTATTATTTATATTACATA